GCCGTGATGTCGCCCATGTAGGCCTCCTCCATCTCGTATTCCTCGCCACCATGTCTGTCGATGCCCACGTACGTGAAGGCTTCTACCACCGCGTCCAGCTCGAAGCCCATGTTGACGAACTGGTCGACCATATTCTTGTTCCAACCTTGGTATCTGAAATTTCCGCCGAGCATGGTTAGTACCGGGCCCCAAATAGCCAAACGCAAGATGAAAAGGGCCACAAAAGACACGCACTTGTTAATATCATCCTCCTTCTTCTCCTTTGTCTTTCGTTGGACTTGATCTGCCGAGGGGCGTGACCTCGGTGCGCCGGCGTACTTGACGGCCCAGTCGTGGGCGACGCTCTCGAAATACTCGTGGTCGTCCATCATCATCTTAGCGACCTCTGCGTCTTGTGGGTCTTTCGGGTTGGGGGCCTCGAGGAGCATGCGTAGTGAAAGAAGGGCAGTCTTGATGGTGCCGACGGGTGACCAGCCGTTGCCGAGGACGTCGAGGCAGATGGCGCCCTATGGGTTGTTTCGGGGTTTAGAAATGGCATCTCCTCGCTCGAACTCTCATGGCGTTGAGGAACAACGACAAGTAAGTGTACTCACAGTCTGACTGCTGATATTGGGATGCCACATCTTGGTGTCGAACTTCATGACGGGCGACTTGAAGGGGTACATATCAGGGATCTGGATGTCGACGGTATAGGTGCCACCGGCGTACGGGGTGTCTGGGGGACCGGGAAAGGTGCCCTTGAGGTGTGTGAGGTTGCTGGCGTCGACGGGCGAAGCGAAGACACCCGAGTTGTCTTTATCCTGGTGCATATCTGCCAACTCCTTGGAGATCCGGCGTTCTCGAGTGGTGGCCATGTTGAGTGAAGGTTGTGGAGAGGGGGGAGGTGGGAGGTGAGGGGTTCGCAATGAAGAGAATTCGCCGATGGGCAAGAGACAGTGACCTGTTGATTGTTTGGCAGAGCGGCAATTTGTGTCGAGGTCGAGATGTTCGGCAGATCAGTGCCGTGGTCCAAGATATCTGGACAAGGTTCGAAGGTTGGCCCAACTTGTGTGGAATCCAACCTTGACAAGGCGCTTACAATAAAGGACAGTGCAGCTTGCAAATGTTACAGTAACGAAAGGGCGGCTTGGTGTTGTCGTCCAAGTTGGGTCCCCAGCACCAAGAACCTCTTGAAAATAGAACCCCAGGTGTGTTTCAGGCACAGTCAGTCCAGGTTCCCGGTTCCTGCAAAAAGGAAAATCGCAGATGGTTTTTATCCATTGGTTGGCGCTTCAAGGGCGGCGTCCTACATTTAGAATAATGCAGCTGCTGCCGAAGCGGGTTGCATTGCCTGCTGCTAATGCTAAGGACGCTCAGATGCTTGCGGTGACTTCATTGGTGGGCTTGCAGGGATTGTCTCGCGGCAGGCTAACCCGCCCCAAGCACATGCCCGTCTAGGTACCCAGGCATCCCTGCGGCTGCGTGTTTGCTTTGGAGCCTGTGATTACCTAACTCACTCTGTGGCCTCCATTGCGACACCTGCTACCGTTCCAGTGGAGGTCAGCTTCGGCCTTCTACCATCATCGCCGCAGCATCACCAAATCCTACCAACAACCTCAACTCGTACGCCCTCTTGTCCCCCGACAAGAATTGATCTCCGTGGATCACCAACCCCTGAGTCTTCCCAACTTATTCATCACTACATCCCACATACGGCAGCCACCGGCTCTGATCCGCAAACATGGTATGCGCAGCTCCATATCGACCTATCTACGCTTTGTTTGCTTCAGATTGCAGGCACCATGACAACCATTGACAATATACTGACTGCATCGTTCATTAAATAGGGTCAGAACCAGTCTGGCATGGGCGGCCCAGGTGATGGCCGTGATGACAAGGACAAGAAGGTACGTTTACGGCGTCATCATACTCTGCTGCCTCTGTTACCTCTTGCTCTTGGCTGACCTCCTCTTCCACTTTTCAGAAGGACAAGCCGAAGTACGAGCCTCCCCCAAAGCCCACCACCCGTGTTGGTCGCAAGAAGAGAAAGCAAGGTGGTACCAGTGCCGCCGCCAAGCTCCCCGCCGTCTACCCCAGCCAGCGATGCAAGCTCCGATTGCTGCGCATGCAGCGCGTCCACGATCACTTGCTGCTTGAGGAGGAGTATGTCGAGAACCAGGAGCGTCTGAGGAAGGCCAAGGCTGCCAAGGATAGCTCCGCTCCAGTCGCTGCCGATGACGCTGCCGACCGCAACGCCGACGAGCGTGGCCGTGTCGACGATATGAGGGGCAGTCCCATGGGCGTCGGTACCTTGGAGGAGATGATCGACGACGACCACGCTATCGTGTCTAGCACCACTGGGCCTGAGTACTACGTGAGCATCATGAGCTTTGTCGACAAGGATCTGCTCGAGCCGGGTGCCAGCGTCCTCCTGCATCACAAGAGCGTCAGTATTGTGGGTGTTTTGACGGACGACACCGATCCTGCTGTCAGCGTCATGAAGCTAGACAAGGCTCCGACCGAGTCGTATGCGGATATTGGTGGTTTGGAGCAACAGATTCAGGAGGTGAGGGAGTCGGTCGAGCTGCCACTGCTGCATCCCGAGTTGTACGAGGAGATGGGTATCAAGCCACCAAAGGGTGTTATTTTGTACGGTGCTCCTGGTACTGGAAAGACATTGCTCGCCAAAGCCGTGGCAAACCAGACCTCTGCGACTTTCTTGCGGATCGTCGGGTCCGAGTTGATTCAGAAGTATTTGGGTGATGGCCCTCGATTGGTCCGACAGCTCTTCCAGGTAAGTCATCAGGACAGTTTTGTGTGCTCCTGAAAAACCCCTTCGCTAACACCTCCCGACAGAGCGCTGGTGACAACGCCCCTTCCATTGTTTTCATCGACGAGATCGACGCCATTGGCACAAAACGTTACGAATCAACCTCAGGTGGTGAGCGAGAAGTGCAGCGGACCATGCTGGAGCTTCTTAATCAGCTGGATGGTTTTGACGACCGTGGCGACGTCAAGGTCATTATGGCCACCAACAAGATCGAGACTCTCGATCCTGCTCTGATTCGGCCCGGCCGTATTGATCGCAAGATCCTCTTTGAGCCCCCAGACCAGAACACCAAGCGCAAGATTTTCAACCTGCACACTTCCAAGATGAGCCTGAACGAGGATGTGGAGCTGGAGGAGTTCATTGCGCAAAAGGACGATCTCTCGGGTGCTGACATCAAGGCCATCTGTTCCGAAGCCGGTCTGTTGGCCTTGCGGGAGCGGCGTATGCGGGTGCAGATGTCTGACTTCCGCTCTGCTCGTGAGAGAGTCCTCCGGACGAAGCAGGAGGGCGAGCCAGAGGGACTGTATCTATAAGTTGGAAGAAGGCTCTGTATTTGTATGCTGCCGGGTTGAAGTTGGGGAAGTCTGCGTTGGAGGCGAGCAACAGCATGGCAATAGATGACGAATAGATGGTATTGACTCTGCTTTGCTTGCACTATTGCCACCACTTTCACAGCTTATACAATTGCTTGAAGATATCTGAGGCAGCGGGTGAACCTTGATTCACGCGTTTAATCTCGTCTCATTCGGATTCTCAATGTGAAAGTGCCTCGTTATTGATGTTCTAACACGTACACAACCCTTTTCGCCGCTGGGCTTGAGTTTTTTTGGGCGATATATTTTCCTGCAGACGCATCTCCCACCCGGATGATGGATTGCAGGATATGCACTGCACTTTCACAGATGTGGTGTAGTGTTAGAAGGGAAGTCTTAACGATGGCTGCAGAAGCCATAGTTATCTCACAGCCACACAGGTCAGGTAGCATAGGGAAGGGTACCAGAGTGATTATTCACAACACGCAGGCTAATTCCATCTCAACGAATTGATGAGGCCACGGATTCTAATACTGTATGCGTGCTTGTCCCGGTTTTTTTGTTTTTTTTTGGGGGGGGGGGGTTCCCTCCCCCCCTTTCTTCTCCCCTCCTTTTCTTCTTCTTCTTTTTTTTCATTGTTTTTTTACATTGATTTTTCTTGTCACAAAATCTACAGCACCATGACTGCAGAGGGTTGCACCTCCTGATCAAGTCAGTTTTGCTTGATCACCGCCTTCCCCAATTTGGCAGCTTGAAGCCTCAAGTTGTTGACGCAAAGACACTCGCTTCGCGCCCGCAACAGCCGTCTCTTTCAGGAGATTAAAGACAGAGAGTAATTTAGAAGCCTGTAATCATTGTGTTGAGCTGAATTCTGTTGACCGTGGTTGCGGAGTTTTTGTATGGGAGACATGAGGCGAGCCTAGACTTGCACGAGGACGGATTTAGAACTCGGATACAAGATCACCCAATTCCTTGCTAAATTTTCTCCAGACTGTATACCCCTCTAGGTGGCCTTTACACCAAGAACATATGCCTATAGAAGAAATGCCTGGGGGAGGACTTTCAGCAATCTTGCAAAAGCCGAATAGTTTTACGATAGGTACCTAGGTACCTAGGTAGGTGCGTTCGAATCCTAATTCCGTGGTCCCCAGGTGCAGCGCCAGAATGGGCTTAGCGCCTCGTGCGTACCGAGGCGATGGTTTGGTCCGGGGTGATTGGCTAAAGATAGCTCTGACCCACTTATTTAGCGTGGCAGTCCTGGTCGGCACGTGCCGAGCCTCGGTACGTACCCGCCGCTGGAACCACGGATTCGGAGAAGACGCTATATATAGTGAGTCTACCAGATGAATACATTACTTCCGGATTGTTAGGAGCAGTCTGGCATTACAGTGGTATTGACGTTTGAGGTAATGTGGACTCAATGGACAAGTTGTGGGATGATCGCTTGTGGGATGCAAGTCCGTGGGACAAAAGGGTATGGGCTCGGAGCGGCTTCATATCACACCAAATATCCACCAGACATATCCGCATTTTAATTCCGCATTTCCGGTGGCCTACCTCTGAGACTCTGGCAGCAGACTGACATTACAAGAAAGTGCACATCAGGGCAAGGGAACCGTATAATAAAAAGGTAATCCAAGCGTGTGAAGCAAAAGATTTGTCCTCGGTGAGACTCGAACTCACGACCTTTGGATGTATTGGAATCTCCCAATGGTGAACCATCGAGTCATTTTATGAGACCAACGCTCTAACCAACTGAGCCACGAAGACTTATTTGTTGTTATAGAGCGTTAAAAGATGGGTGCTATAGATCAGAAAACGTTTCCCGGCGTCCCGGCGAACCCAGCTCAGCAGCCGCTGAAGCCACTCAAAATCCGCTATGACGTCTTCAAATGTAAGCGAAAGCATGCAATAGCAGCAGTAGCAGCAATACCAGGTATCAAATACCGCATACTATGAAGGAACTCGGATCAAATTAGACCGTAACTGAGGGTCCGATCTTGCCCTCTATCCACAAATGTAGCAGCTATGTATGCCGATCTTGATGATATTACGGAAGTCAGGAGACTTAGTCGATTGTGTTTGTCAGTACTGCACACGTTTGTTGATAGTCGAAAGATGGATTGTTCAAATGGTGAGGGGTTGCAGTACTGCTCGATACCGCAAACCAGTACGCACATTCTGTCTTAAGGGTAGGTCGCATTTAGGAAATTGCTTAAAAATACTACAAAGTATATCAAATTCCAGCAAAGCTTTGTCGACTGAACAATGCTCTAATAAGTATGTACTGTTGCAGCAAATGCAAGCTGCGTGCAGGTCCCTAGGTAGGCCCGGGAATTACCCACGACCCACGCGCTACCCATGAACCTTATTTGTACCCATGGGTACCCTCTAGGTGTATGGGAAATTCTGCGGATAATTTTCATAAAATTAAAAAATAAAAATGCTCGAACTATTATCGCTGTGGTATTTGTTATCCTCACCCTCGTCCTTATCCTCGTCCTCACCCTCGTCCTTATCCTCGTCCTCACCCTCGTCCTCACCCTCGTCCTCGTTCTCGTCCTTATCCTCATCCTCGTCCATTCTTGTTATTCTCACCCTCGTCCTCACCCTCGTCGTTATCTTTCAAGGTTCGTTATCCTTGTTATATTGAAAAGTGGCTATTTGAACCTCGGGCGCTTACGATCCTATCAATTAATAAGCTATATGCTATTCCACTACTCATATATGACAGTTCCCGGTTTCGTTGGCTTAGAGGGGGAGTTTATACAAGCACAATCTTTGTATCCAGATGATTCAAAAGCTCATTGCTAAGTTGAACTTCACACAGGCCTTTCGGCCTCTGGGACCCTACTTAAACAGCCGTGAGGTCATAGCAGGGCTTACTTGCCCGTAACCAGTGCCTCTTTACCATGCCCACTTACTCATCAAACCATTCGGCCACTTCCTGACACAAAATTTGCGCCCTTCATCCAACAAAAGAATACCGAGCCCGTAGGTCATCGGCAGAAACCAGTATTCGATAGGAACCGTGGCGGTGTCCAAGACATCCTGCAGTCTGGGGATATAGCACCAAAAGAAGACCATCACCAAAGCAAACAAAATCGCCGGGAAGAGCCAGAGGTTTTGTGTCTTCTTATTGAACAACGGCGGGTGCTGGAAGATGGACAATCTTCTCGTTCGGACTGACATCAAGTTGAACCATTGCATGACGACCAGATTGACAAAGTAGATAGAGCTGGCCGTGCTCAGCTTGGCTTCGTATTCGGCCTCGCTGATACCGGCTGGCATTTGGCCGAAGCCGAACCACAGACTGTTGAAGGGGATGCCGTTGCGTTGAAGTTACCAGAACGACATGGCGTATGATGACAGTGTCTCCATGAAGCCGATGAAGCCGTAGGACTGGACAATGAGCTTCCAGTCGACCAAGTGATCAACACCAATCACACGGGGAGGACGCAGGAGCACGTCAGCCTCAGGTTTCTCATACGCGAGGGATGTCGCGGCAAGACAGTCCGTGAAGCAGCTGACAAGTAAAATCGGTCAGCATCGCTGTTTTTGACTCGGCAAAATTCCTCGGGAGACTTACCAAATGACGATCATCAAGAAACTGCTCAGCACTTGCGGCAACCCAAACGCCACGCTCGTGAATACGGGCCAAAACTCGGAGAAACTACCCGCAGGAAGTAAGTATGCGATAGTCTTCTTGAGGTTGTCAAACATCATGCGGCCGTAGCGGACTGCCTCCACCACACTCTCAAAACCCCCGAGCAGTACCATATCCGCAGCCTCCACAGCAATGTCACTACCGGAGCCTACCGCGATGCCGACATCTGCGGCCCGGAGCGCAGGCGCGTCGTTCACGCCGTCACCCGTCATACCGACAACCTGGCCGCGAGACTGCAACTCGCGCACGATGCGTAGTTTCTGCTCTGGCGTGGTGCGCGCGAAGACGACCTCGGAGAAATTGGTGACGAGCTGGTCCCACTGGGATTCGTTCAGGGCCATGAGGTCGGACCCCGTGAGGACGATCGAGCTCGGCGCGGACTGGCTGTCAAACCGCACAACTTTGCCAGTCACCTTGTTGTTCAACTCGGACGGATGGGCAAGTGGATTGCGGCTCAGGGCCGAGGCGTCTTGGACAGCTGCTGCGGGATTCGTAATGATACCACACTCGGTAGCAATGGCTTGAGCTGTGAGGGCGAAGTCACCGGTCACCATGAAGATGCGGATGCCGGCGCCTCGCAGGGTTGAAACCACGCCTGGGATCTCTGGGCGAGGAGGATCGACGATGGCGACGAGACCGACGAGTGTGAGTCCGGTCTTGGCATGCTCCGTCATCATGTTGTCAAAGCCTGAGGAGAGGGGCGAGTGCTTGAGGGCACTGCGAGACAGGGCTTTGTGCGCGAGAAGCAGTACACGGCGGCCTTTGGCTGAGTACTCTTCTTGGACAGCCTGGATCTGTGCTCTAGTGGTATCGTTGAGCACGTGGGAGGCCCCAGACCTCCCGATATAATGGGTACATCGTTCTAGAAGCCTGTCAGGGGCACCTTTGATCGTGAAAAGGCTGTGTGAGAGAGTTTTCGAATCAGTCACTGGAACAAATGGCGGAAGGGACCACAAGAAACTCACAAATCCCCACGCTCAAAGACAGAGGCAGCATCCATGGGCAACGCATCCTGGAGTCCATCGGGGTGCGTCAGACCAAAGACCCGAATCATGTACTTGTTCTTGCTGTTGAAGGCCAGTTCAAATTTCTTCTGCCAGCACCTTTTCAGGTCCGAGATGAGCCCCAGTGACTCAGAGAAGCGAAGTATGGCAGAGTCTGTTGCATCACCGTGGATCTTGCGCTCGGCCAGGGGCAGTGACCGGGTGGTAGCATCAAACTCTGCTGAATTGCAAAGGCCGGCGACTGTATGCAATTGGTCGACCGCATTACCCGCAAAATTGCCATCGGTATTGCGTTCTGCTATCAAAGTGTCACGAACATCATCTGCAGTGATCTTCTCGAGACCAATATAGCAGTCCGTCACGACCATGTTATTCTGTCACCGTTCATTATCAGTCTCAATTTTTTTTGGGTCGGTCTCGAGGTACAAACCGCAGTGAGAGTTCCGGTTTTGTCTGAACAAATGACCGAGACTGAGCCCAGCGTCTCGACGGTCTTCAACGACTTGCACAAGATCTTGTTCTTCTTCATCATGTTGGCGCTTATTGTCAGGCTTGCTGTCAGAGCCACAGGGAGACCTTCAGGGATGAAAGCAACGGCTACCGAGACACAGTCGACAATAAGAGTGGGCACATTGATCCAATCCGGATGTGCTTTCCTGAGCCAGGCGCCCCTTTTATCCTCGTGTAAGCAATATTTCTCCAAACGTTGAATTTTGGGTTTTCTTTTGCAGGTCGACCTACCAGAGAACCAGGACAACAACAATCATGACGACCATGATCGAGCAAATGATGAGGACGAAGTTCAAGACCTCACGTTCAAGAGTGGTCATGCCAGTCTTTGGCTCATTGGTCAGCTTTGCAATTCTGCCAAAGACCGTACGATTCCCAGTGGCAACAACCACACCGGTGCAAGTCCCTGACACGCAGTGTGTTCCTTGTAGTCCGATGTTCTTTGTTTCCAGGTAATTGGTGTCCGTTGAGTCGACAGTGGCTGTCAGGGGAAAAGATTCACCTGGAAAATGGATTGAATTAGCTACAAATGTCTCCCAAGGCCTCATGCAAGGTAGTCGTTTGTGATGAACAGGACCCACGAGACCATAACTTACCCGTTAGAATAGATCTATCAAATTTTGAATCAGAAGACACATGGGTGAACCTGACATCGGCTGGTAGTTTGTTGCCTGCTTTGCACAACAACACATCTCCTGGAACCTGTTCATAACTTAGATTAGTTTCTTGATATTTCCTTCAAAGCAGAAATGCTCCTGGCTTTCAGAATCCGAAGGGTGAAGTTTATTAGACCCAATTTGGTTCGAGGGTTGTATACAGCGAATTGAGATCACATACCAAATCCGCGGCGAACAGAGTCATCTGCGAACCGTTCCTCACAACCTGACACTCATCCGGAAGCATATTCTTGATGCTCGACATCACTCGACTCGACGACCAGTCTTGCCACATGTTGAAACCGGCTTGTATCAGAAAGACGGCGAACAGAACAATGCCGAGGGCCAGGTTAGCTTGGGCAGGGGGATCACCAAGCGGCTTCCATGCAATGAAGACGAGAATGGAGGCGATCAGCAAGATGGACCCAAACCCCTTGAAGAAGTATCCCATGATCGTTTTGAACTTGTGTGTTTGAGGAGGGGAGGGTGCGTTCTTGCCATAGCGCTGGAGGCGATTTTTGACTTGTTCGTCGGACAGACCGTCTTTGAGAGAGGAGTTGAGGCGCATCGCAACCTCGCTAGGTGTAAGTGTATGCCATTCGAGATCCGCGAGTTCTATAAGCAAGTTCAGAAGTGTCAGTCAAGCAATTCTCTCTTGTATTCGAACGAAATTCAGATGCCACAATTTGCGATCACCAACCCAGCCTATCCCAAGGTCTATCATGAGGAAGATACTCACCTGTAACCGCAGGATTCTTCTTATTACTCGTAGTCTCGTCAATATCGATAGATCTGCCCAGTCAGAACCAGCCTTGGCCAAGATATCGAACGAAATTGTGTCGCGCAAATGATACAGCAGATGTAATGTCTGCTGCACCAGCGTTCTTTGGCTTACAAGGTCCGGTATTGAATGGGCAGAGCAGCCGCAGGCTC